GTGATGTCACTTGTCATAAATCTTATTAGTGGATATAAACCTTATTTAATCATATTAATCTTATTTAATGTAACAGTGCAGCTTCACTGGACTGAGCTCCACTCAGCGTTTCCTCCGTCACTTCATCATGTGCGACTCACAAACAACAGTAATTTGTCGGCTGCCATTTTGTCCCGCCTCTAACAAGCGTCCTGTCGCAGCTGATGGACGCCGCCACTCGTCACTTTGGGCCTCGTGTTCGTGTTCACGTCTCACGACTGCGTTCAGAATTTTAAGTGAAGGGACGCAGAGGTTTTTCTCAGGACGTGATTTAGTTTCATCAACAGATCTCATGAAAAACAATCTGTTGATAAAAACTATATAAATAAAAACTGAAGTGATGGAACATGTGTGTCAGACGCACACTGATCAGTCAGTCGCACTTTAGTTCTGTATTTCTTTATTTCTTTAGTTCACCCTGCTCTGCTGCCTCCTGCTGCCTCTCCGGTCTTAAGTGGATTAAATGGATTCGGAACAGAAGCTACAGACGCTCTAATAACATTTCTGGAATTTTAAGCAACTCGTGAATTGATTCAGAGACTAAAGAGCAGCAACGGAGAAACTGAGACGCTCCGACACAAACTGTATCAGTCTCATCTAACTGGAGCAAACTGATCATTATTATCTTGATCGTTAACTGGTCGTTACCTGATAATTACCAGTTTGTTAACTGATCGTTAACTGGTCGTTACCTGATCGACCAACATTTTATGAAGCTGTTTATTATAGAACGTGTTGACGACAGCCGGCTCTCTGTTGTCGGGGACTTCGTTGGTCTTTGTGTCGCTAACTGTCAGAATTTCAGAAATCTTAATTAGAGTAGATGTGAAAAGGGTTGATTACATATTTCCCCCCCACCAGGGTCCATGTTTGCTCTCCACGGTCACATGACTCAGATGAGTAAATGAGTGTCGGGCAGTAATTCACACTGGTGCTGATGAAGCCTTTTCTCTGCTCATTCTGGACGCTCATCATCTGCTGCCTGCAGGCAGCGACTGATGAGCGATAATAACTGAGGAGGAAACAAACAAACACTGACGTCACTGCTGCTTTAACTCGCGCTCTGAACAGTCCGTTCGTTTCCTTCATGATTCCTGACGATCTTTGTCTCTGAGCAACAAGAATTTGCTTCTGAAAGTAAAACCTGAGTTTGCGTTTCCTGCGTGTGATGGAAGATACATACAGCCTCTGGGTCCTGTAAGATGATAAGATCTTTGGTGCTGAAGCTGTTAAACTCATAGTTTTATTCTGTGTGTGTCAGTTGATGAAATGAACTTGAGGCTGTTCATCGTTGTTTTTATTTTGGACCAATCACAGCAGCTCGTTCTGTCTGTGCGAAGCTGCCAGCATCACTTTGTGTCCCGTCGGCCATTTGAATGTTAAATGTTCTTTTGCTGTTCATTATGGGCTGTGAGCCGCCCGCTCCTCTGGACAATCATTTGATTGGAGCTGATTGGATTTGCGGCCGAGGCTGCAGCCGCCGCTCCCTCAGTGTCGCTCTGGCTAATGGAGCCTTTCTAAAGGCTTTATTAGAAGTCATTTGCTGCAGCGGGCGCTGACTGATATCTGGGCCGTGACCCTGTCTCTCAGCTGAAGGGTAAAGAGGAGTCAGTGGAAACGTCAGGGTCTTTACCAGCTGATCACACTGAGGAGGAGGAGGAACACTGAGGAGGAGGAACACTGAGGAGGAGGAACACTGAGGAGGAGGAACAACACTGAGGAGGAGGAACACTGAGGAGGAGTCGCACCAGAAACTCTGTTGTCTCTTTGTGCGTATCTCAGATTTCATATTTGCGTCACCATCTTGTCGTTGCATCGTTACTTTTAGCGGCTGCACTTTCAGCATCTTGGCCACACTTAGCTAGCTGGTTAGCTTTGTCACCGGTGTGCAATGAATCCTGGGATTCACTCGTTGGATCCTCGTTAGTATGAGAACAACTCGTTTGTGTGAATTTGAAAAGGGACCAAATGGTCGGCCCCTGAAATGTAACACAGCTAACACCAGGTTTAACAGGCAGCCATGACGGTCACATGACGGTCACATGACGGTCACATGACAGTGAAATGTTCGGTCAGTGGCGTCAGTGAAATCGCAGGTTAAGTTCTCGTCATTAGTCTTATTAACGATCAGATTTCCACATCTTTAGTTTCCAGCTGAAGAACATGACATGTTTCCCTTAGCATGACCGCTCCATGTATTTACATGTTGCTGTTGCATGTGGAGTTACAGAGGGAAGGTGCTCGTCTGAACGACTGGAGCAGAAAGACACAAGTCTCTCCACCACCGTCCTCTGTCCTCATGAAGCTGAAGTCCTCTGTGTTCTCTGAGCGGCTCCATCAGTGTCTGTAATCACTCATCAGGGTCTGTGACGAGGGGACGTCCCTGGAAAGTCTTCGTCTTTGAAGACTGAATGTTTACAGATTTGCATCAGGGACGGCTGCCATGCTCCATCAACATTTTTAATATGGATGGAATCTGAGGAACGTCCCAGATCACATCTGACAGAACTGTAAGAAGCAAGTTTGATTCATGGCTCCGTTCTGACGATGGACGTTCTGAACTCCTCGTGTGTCACAGACCTGCAGCTCGGTCGCAGAGGAAACCTCTCAACACCGTCCGTCTTCGTCTGGAAGTCAGAACTCAACAAAGATGAAACAAAGGTTTGACCAAGAATCAGCCGTCGCCGTGACGTCACCTGTTGGTTTGTGGTTAAAGTTTCAAATGTTTTAAAGCTGCACATGTTTGGAAGAGCAGGGGTGGAGCTGACAGTACTACCTGTCAATCACACTGTGGTCTCCTCCCCCCCATCCACCCGGTGCTTTCTGCTCTGTTTGACTCTAAATGATCAGAGTTGATTAATGAACATCAGCTGTTTGAAGACGACTTGAGACTGAGACAGAAACTCCTGAGGATAAAGTTTACTGTGTGTGTGTGTGTGTGTGTGTGTGTGTGTGTGTGTGTGTGTG